TTGCATCAAAGCTCAACACCAAAGGTCAGAGGTCAGTGCTATAAGAAATGATAAAGACGAGCAAAATGCAATCTCAGGCCTCAAGCCTACCCATAACAAGTGCAGAGGACAGTAGCTCAGCTGAAAGAAATGAATCAATAGTGTCGGAAGTAAACAAACAACAGCAGATATAGAGGAACTCAAGCAGAATTAATTTCTGGAACAAAAAAAAAAAAAAAAAAACCCTAAATTCATAGCATCTGAACTTAAGAATCAAATGCAGAAACATATGCAGGAAACACAATGCCCACCAAGAACAAATGCAGTGGACACTAGCTTAGCTGAAATATATGATTAGTGGGGGCCCGCCCATTAGCTCAGTTGTTTAAGTGCCTGCTTAAAGGAGGCAGTCAGTCTCTGGGAGCGGTGGTTCCATTCTCACATACTCAAGGCAACCCAGACCAGCGCTGCTGCAGGTCAATGGGGAGCTCCAAAAAAAAAAAAAAAAGAAAAGAAAAGAAATACATGATTAGTAGTGTAGGAAGTAAATAAGCAACTGCAGAAAGATTTAAAGGAACTCAAAGCAGAATTAGTGTCTGAAATGAAAAAAGAAATCTTTGAATTCATAGCACCTGAACTAAAGAATACAGAAACATAAAGAAGAAACCCAATCTGTTAAAAACTCTGCAGTAAAAGAATTAATAACTGCTTCTAAAGAAGACATTGATAAAAAAAAAATAGAGATTTTTTTAAAATGATGGATTCACTGAAGGAGCAATACAGAAAAGAAATAGATCGCATGAAGCAGAGTCAAAGAGACGTAGAGGAACTGAAACTCTCAATCACAAGCCTGCAAAACCGTTTGAGTGAAAGTGAAGATAGAGTTTCAGATCTTTAAGACGCTGGTGCAGCTAGTGAAAAGTTAAGAAAAGATCTCTTAAAAACAACTAGGATGCAGGAAAAACTAATTCATCACTAGCAAGACATGCAAAGATGAACAATGTGAGACATATAGGCATCAGTAAGAAAGAAGGAGTCAATACAAATGATATAAAAAGGATAAGGGCAGAAGTAATAGCAGAAAACTTCCCAAATATGAGGAAACAATCTGATATTCAGGTAACCGAAGCATACAGAACTCCAAATAACTTCAACCCAATTAAAAACACACCGAGACATATAATAGTCAAGATCCCAGAAATCCAACACAAGAATATCATACTGAAAGCCGCTAGAGAAAAGCAGATCACATTCAAAGGAAAACCCATCAGAATTATAGCCGACTTCTCTTCACAAACCATGAAGGTAAGAAGAGCATGGAGCAGAGTACTTCAAGTCCTCTATGAAAACAAATTCCAGCCCAGACTACTATACCCTTCAAAACTCTCTTTCAAGTTTGATGGAGAAGTGAAATACTTTCATAAAAAGAACAACCAAAGAATTTTATGATGGCAAAGCCAACCCTATACAGACTACTGAAAAATGTTCTAGAGAGGAACCAAAATGATCAGAACTCCACCAAAGAGAACAGAAGAAACCCACTAAATAGGACAAACAATTAAACACAGGAGAAAAAGTTAAAAAAAAAAACAGCATTTAAATAACATGTCTATCGTAAGTCAACACATCTCAATTCTAACCATCAATGTAAATGGACTCAATTCACCAAGTAAGAGAAACAGATTGGCACAGTGGATTAGGAAACAAAACCCAACAATACATTGTATATAAAAAACACACTTAACTCATAAAGACACTCATAGGCTGAAAGTCAAAGGATGGAAAATAATACTACATGCCCCAGCACTTCAGAAAAAAGCAGGGGTAGCAATCTTGTTCTCAGACAGTCTCAACTTCAAACCAAGAATGATCAAACAAAATAAAGAAGGTCACTATATACTAGTTAGGGGAAAAATTCAAGAGGATAAAATAACAATCATAAATATGTATGCACCAAACACGGGAGCACCCAACTATATAAGACAAACCTTAATAGACATGAAAAATCTAACATCCAATACAATAATCTTAACAAGAAACCTTAACAACACCTTATCCTAAAAAGATAGATCGAAGAGACAAAAAATTAGCAAACAAGTGGCACAACTGAACCAGAGCTTGGAATAAATGAACTTCCTAGACATATACAGTGTTCCACCCAAACACAGTGGAATACACATTTTTTTCACCTGCACATGGGTCATTTTCTAAAATAGACCACATACTAGTACATAGATCATGTTTAAGTATATGCAAAGAAACAGAAATTATTCCATGCATATTATCTGACCACAGTGCAATGAAACTAGAAATAAATGACAAAAGAAACCAGAAAAAGCCCCTAAATACATGGAAATTAAACAACACCCTACTCAGCAATCAGTGGGTTACAGATGAAATTAAACAAGAAATTCAACAATATCTACAATGAAAATTCAAGCACCACTTATCAGAATTTATGGGATGCGGTGAAAGCAGTTCTCAGAGGGAAATTCATAGCTGTGAACTCACACATTAGGAAAACAGAACGGGAACAAACAAACACCCTAATGCTGCACCTCCAACATCTAGAGAAGGAAGAGCAAACCAAACCCAGAGCCCAAAGATGGGAAGAAATCATAAAGATTAGAGCAGAAATTAATGCAACTGAGATGAAGAAAACAGTTCAAAGAATTAACGAATCAAAAAGCTGGTTCTTTGAAAGATTAAACAAAATTCAGATACAAGCAATAAGGAATGAAAAGGGTATAACTACTACAGACCCAGTGGAAATTCAGAAGATTATCAATAGCTACTTTGAGAATCTTTACTCTCTCAGAATAGAAGCCACAGACAAAATGGATAGATTCCTAGAAAGGTACAAATTTCCAAAACAACCCACAAATTTTGAAAATATCTTGACAAATAAGTACTCAGACAAAGGTCTACTCTCTAAAGAAGCGAATAAATATATGAAAAAATGCTCATCACTAGCCATCTGTGAAATGCAAATCAAAACAACACTGAGATACCATCTCACCCCAGAAAGAATGGCCATCATAAAGAAATCAACCAACAACAAATGTTGGAGAGGCTGTGGGGAAAGTGAAACCCTTCTCCACTGTTGGGTGGGAGTGTAGACTGGTGCAACCATTATGGAAATCAGTGTGGAGACTCCTTGAAAAACTAGGACTGGAAATCCCATTTAAGCCTGCTATCCCCCTATTGGGAATTTTCCCGGAGGAACTGAAAGCGTCCTATCATAGTGATATATGCGTTATCTATGTTTATAGCAGCACAATACGTGATAGCCAGATCCTGGAAACAACCAAGATGCCCGTCACATGTGGAATGGTTGAAAAAGATGTGGTGCTTTTATGTAATGGAGTATTACTCAGCTATAAAGATAAACTTGAAGCCTTCATATTTAAGTGGATGCCACTTGAAGATATACTTATAAGTGAAATAAACCAGACCCACATCTGTAAATATTGTATTGTCTCCATAGTATAAGAACTTAAAAGAGGAATTATATATAGAAAGTTGCAACACAAATTAAAGGAAAGCAATAACTTGAGGATTGAACAAATGAGGAGTGGGCAAGGAGAAAAGCTGGGAAACATGACAGGGGCAAAAACATACATTTGTACGCATGAGATGGGTGGGGCAGTGATCTTGGGGTACATCAGCAGGTTTTTGAGACTAGCAGTTGGCTGGTAAGATTCTCACCCTGACTAATTGTATATGCTGGTGCCCGTGAGCCAGGCGGCTACACTGAGGATGGTGATGTGTAATAGAGGGGTCACGCTCAGAGTGCTTGCCATCCTGGTTTTCTAAATATGTACTTCTTGTCATGACATACCATTTATTGCCATAATGTCTCTCAAGTAAAGGCTTTTTTAAAAAAAGGGTAATAATTTTTTTTTAAAAAGACAAGAAAAAAAGTCACAGGTCTGTCCTGTTACAATTCTGTATATGGTTAGATTTCTAAATTTCTTTGTAAAAATATGTTAATGCTTATTTCTACTTTTATAAAATTATTTTTCCTTCATATTCTGTAAGGACTTAAAATTCAACATACCAGTATTTTATGAAAAATACCTGTTCCATTATAAGCCAAAGATGTTTGATATTTAGACAGACAGGGTAAACCGAACTACGTATGTTGCAGGTTAATAAGCTTCTCTTCTGGAGGATTAACAACCTAAGTTAGCAGGTCAAAATTGGAGAAAAGGAAGGGCTGCAAGGTCAGCCAACATTTTGGCCCTAGCGTTTCAAGGTCAATGAAGACTCGGGACATAGGAGAACCTGTACTGTAACAACATGTAACTCAGTTGTGCTCCAAATTTTCTGATCAAGAAGATTTTGGAGCCACAGAGGAATGTGATCGATGATGTATAGTGTGCCTGGGGAGAGTCACATGGAGAGAAAACATTCTCTCAGGCTTTCACAGATAGTAAATTGGTCAAGCAATGGCCGTGACTCATCCTCATGGCTGACACTGACAAAGGATGTACGAAGTGCGGTACAGGGCTATACGATAACTCCTGAGAGTACTTGACTGACCTTATTAGATACAGAAGTTACATTTTTGTTATCTAGGTCTTGCGTTATCTTGGTCTTAACCATCCAGCAGAAAAGTATAAAAATGAAGTATATAAAGTAAAGCCGTATTAATATGATGAGCTGTAAAAGGCTCAAGTCAATAACTTCTAAGGATAACCCACTAATATTATAGACTGCTAGACAGTGTTGGATTGTTTAGCTGAATTCAAACACCTATAGTATTTAGATGCCAATAGAATATCCACCTCTGACAGGACCAAAAAAAGGGATACAAAGGAAAGATCATTTTGTATTTATATATACAAAACAGGATAAATATACAGCTACTTTCACTTAGTTCAATGAGAAGGAAGAAGTGTACTGATAGTGTTTGGACAGAATATCCTGTCTGCTTCTTGTACTATGGATAACCACTAAGAAGATAACAATGTACAATGTATTGATTATCAAAACTGTCCTATTAATCGGCTTTTTTTTTCATCCAATAAGTCATAACTTTATTAGTGATAGAAACAGTACAAATTTCAAACCAAGCTGCAGTGACCTTTTTGAAACACCAGAAAAAGCCCTTCTTTCCAATGATTACATTGTTAGTTCCATAATAGCATTTACAGTATCATTAATGTTGTTCTTCAGTGCTCGGACTGCCTTTGCCCTCGACACATTTGCTTGTGACATAACCAACTCTATGTCCTTAACTTCCACGCCTGTTTCATCAACCTCTTCCTCTTCACTCTCCTCTTGTACAGTTGGAGTCTGTGTATTTTCTTGAATGTTTGAGACAGCTTCACCTTGAACTTTGAATTTCTCAGCAGCTGCTAACTGTGCTTGCTGAGATAAATCCTCAATCTTGGCTTCCCCAAAAACTATGTAGGTATCTGAAGCTGGGCTCTTATAGACATCCGGTTTTGTAATGACAAAGAGGATATTCTTAGACTTCCGAATAGTGACTCTAGTAACTCCTGTAACCTGCCAAAGACCCAGTTTGGACATAGCCTTCCGTGCCTTCTTCTCACTCCGACTCTGTTTTGCTTTACTGACTGGTTCTTCATCAATTTCAGCTGCTGCTGCCAGCTGGGCTTGTTGTGTGGTTGCTTGTGTGGAATCTTGCTCTTCGAGCTCTGGTACTGATTCATCACTGTCAGATTCTGTTCCAGACGCTGTCTCAGCCTGGGGCTGTGGCAACTCCTGCTCTGTAGCAGGAACGGTTTCTGTGGCTTCACCGGGCATTTTGTGCGGAGAACACGGAACCAAGATGGCGGCAGAAAAGGAGCGAGCAAGAGCCCTATTAATCAGCTTTGAAACTGTCTCATTCATATTTATTTTGCAATTAAAATAAGTAAATAAACAAATGCAGCAAGAAACATCTACTGTGAATATCACAGTGGCTAAGCTTACTGTGTCACTTGATCAGCTTGGGAGTGGCCCAGTGGAGTGGTGAGGCCCCCTTCTGAGTTGTCTGGGCAGGTTATAGAGGTGTGACTGTGCGCACACTACGGAGCCCCTGGCTTTTGCAAACATAGAGTCCCTTCCTCTCTGGCAACCTCCCCCATGGCACCTCCTGCCCACCACAGACCAGATCCTTGGAAACTATGAGCAGAAACACACCCATCCTCCAGTAAGTCCTCGGTGATGGGGGCTTGGTCCCAGCAGCAATATGCTGACTAATGCACATGCGACAAACAAGTTCCTAAAATAAAAACTAAAGGCAAAGGCAAATTCCAGATCAATTTTTCAACTTGTAAGGCTTAATTTTCTGTTTGGAAATAGAGGAAGATTTGTCTCACACTGTCTTTACCACACAGGCTAAACACATCAATCACAAACATAGAAGTGTTAAAAAAAAAAAAAAGTGGGCCTAAATAGTGATTATGAGAGGTTGGGAAGAGTCAAGGGAAGGTGGGTAAGTGGAGGCCACATAGGATCAGTGTATAATGCATACATGTATTAAAATGTCACACTGGACCTATTAATATGCATAATATACATTAATCAGAATGAAATACTCAAAATACTTGATAGGAATTGGATCCTCTAAAGTATCATAGTCCATGAAATAATAAATTAGTGCAATTATCAGCAGGCTAAACTAGTTTTTAGCCATAGTGAAATCAACTTGATGAAGACCACAGTTGCTACATGGAACAGAACTAAACTATACAGGCAGAAGGTTGTCATACTAAATGACAACACTTTGTTTCACCTGTGCTATGTGGGGCAGTGTGCATTCAACTATGGACTGGGTCCCAAAACTTAGTACAGTCCCTGGCCAAAACATTTTGAAAATCACCACTTTAACAACTTCTCAAAAACTAGGGGTTTTTTTCCTAGCATTATCTAAGACTAACAAATGGGTACCAAATCCAAAATGATTGGGTGTGAGCCAGGCGTGGTGGTGCACACCTGTAATCCCAGCACTTGGGAGGCTGAGGCAGGAAGAGCATCATGAATTCGAGGCCAATCTTGGTTACATAGTGAATTCAAGGCTAGCCTGAACTACATAGCAAGAGCCTATCTCAAATAAAAACAAAGCAAAATAGAACTTACTGATAAACTTTAGCTCTCTGTAGTCACCATGAAAGAAGACTGTCATCTGTTATATTAGGCCACAAAGACATTTATTATTGGGCTTCATTCTGTAGTAAGTCTACTTTTAAATAGATTTTAATTTTGCATTTTTAAAAGATTAGAGGCCTGAGGGCATGCAGAAACACCAACCAAACTACCACATATTGTTTCTCATGATAAAAGGTAGTACATAAAGAAAACTAAAATAATAATAGTATTTACAATAGTCCACTAAAGTATCACTGGAGCTAACAGATCTTCAGGCTCCCAGTGAAGAGGAGGAAAGCTGTTTTAGAGACAACTGCTACTGCCTCCTCCAGGAACCCGACCAACATGTCAAACTCCCATCACAGGTCAATATAGCCAGCCCTTAATTCACAATAAGGTTGGCCTACGGCACATGCAGGCCAACCTGGGAGGGAAAAACAGGAAGACTAGAAAGGGTACTCCTCCGCCCTGGAGAGGGAGTTTCACAATCAGACACAGAACAAGTGTCCTCTTAGGTTCCACATTGAAGTATGGGCTCTGCATGGTAAGCAGCCCCCTTGGAAAGTGGCTCCTGGCACGCTCGGAAGCCGGAGGTGGAGTGTCAGCTGCGGTTGGAAAGGACATCACCCTGACAACTGGAGGACACGGCTGGAGAATCTGGCTGGGGGAGCAGCCTAGCCCCGAGTACTGCCTACATCTTCACAGAGCCCCCAACCCAAGGGCAGACAATACTCTGTTGATGTCGTCCAGGCCGCAAAAGAGATTTTTCTAGGTTTGAAAAGATCTACCGAGAGCTGAGCCTGCTGGGCAGGACTGAGCAGGTGTTAGGGTGAATTAGACTTTCCAAATGTGATGCTTTCCAAAACGAAACTGAGGAATTTGTCCTGTGCCCAAGCAGATCCAGGTATCTAAGAGTCAGGGAACTTTTGTAAAAACCATAACCTATTCTTCCCTGTATTTGCTTCTGTATGAATGTTACTTTTCTGGACATCATTCAGAGCTGGAACTGGGGCTCCCAGCTGGAGAGACTATCCATCTCCCACCTGTTAAGAGAAACACAGTAACGGGAAATGAAGTATTGTGGAATAACTCACTGGAATACTAAGTCACTTTTGTTTTTATTGTTGCAAGAAAAAGAGAGCGATTTGTGGCTTGTGTAGTTTCCTCCCCTTGATTTGAAGGCCTGTCCAACCTCCTTGTCTCAAGGGAGACTGCCTTGATAAAGCAGGAGGTTCCTGAAGGGAATGTCTCAATTTTTGTTTTAGAAAGTTTACGCTCAATAAGGGATTTTCTCAAAAAAAAAAAAGAAAGAAAGAAAGAAAGAAAGAAAGAAAGAAAGAAAGAAAGAAAGAAAGAAAGAAAGAAAGAGAGAGATGTATGGTGGTGCTTTGGTTCATGAACTTAATTCTTTCCAGGATTCTGGTGGCAGAATTCCTTCTACAGTTTAGATTGTAGCCAACTGCAAGCATGTACACTGTATTCTGGTTGCAGATAAATTGCTGCCCCTTGCAACCAGAGTCATGGAACAAATGCTTCGACCAGAGTCGTGGAAATAATTAAGTTCAAGTTCATGAACCAAAGTACCACTGTGCAACCTTCAGGGGTAAGAATCTGCTAAAACACCTTTCACTATGGAGAAAAGACAAAATGTAGGAAGAATGGGAAATCCTCCATGATTAATAAAGTCTTCAGTTCCCCAAAGCAGAAGAGGAGCCTAATCCAGCCCCTCACAATTGCCCAGGATGTGAAAAGGATGCCCTGGCTACATACACCCAGAAACCTGAGCTCCAGGCATCCCGGCCTCAGCAGAAATTTTCATGCTTAAGCAATAACTTAGGTCCCTGCCTCCCACGGGCCACTTGAGCTTGCGCAGGGGGCACACTGCCTGCGTACACTGAACACCCAGGTACCTTCTTCAAGGTCCCACTACTGAAATGAAGCCGCAAGACCTTTGGTGACATGACTCAGTGAGCAGCGGGAGGAACGCAGGTCCAAAGCTAGCGACTCTCACTAGCTCCACATGAAGGACTATTGGGATTTGATTTAACTTTTACTTCAAGGATAAAGGAATATATTTCTCCATGCTCCATCATACCCAATTGAATGTTCTTTGTAGTGGTATAGATAATGGGGGATAGTAAAACAAATCAAAATATAAAATTATGTATTTGTTACCTTCACCTGAATTAGTTTTATTGAATTCCATATTATGAACTAAAAATTGGAGCTACATTGTGATGAACTACGTATTAAAATAAGTTTCATAATATGCAGTACAGTTACAATGATGTTCATAAAACTGACACACTGAGCTCACAGATTTTACCACTCCGCATCACCAATGGCTTTTGCGAACACATAGTCTCTCCCTCCAAAACACATCACACCATCCTTCAAATAGAATTTCCACTTGTTTTTGTTTCGATGAATCTGGAGGGAGAAGAAGAATCTGCATTAAAAGGTTCAAAGTTCATTTACATTTCCCTCGAACAGAAAATGGGATTATTCTGAGTCTAAATTACTCCTTTAAAGGTAAGACCAGCTCAAGGTAGTTTATTCATTCATTCAAGAAATACCTGACTTCCTATGTGTATGTGTGTCTGCATAATTAGTCTAACGGTGGGAGGTTAGTTTTACTATCCTTGCAAACACCAAAATTTGTGGATATTCAAATACTTTGCATAGAATGGCCATATATACTTATATATCTCCTTTTATATACTTTAAATCATCTCTGGAATAGTTACAATATAAATGCTTTTAAGTAGCAGGTGTATTGTATTATTTAGGGAACAATGACATGGAAAAAAGTTTACCTTATGTTCAATACAGATTTAATATTTTCAGTAGTTTTAATTCATAGGAAGTCAATTCCACAGAAAACTGCAGATATGAAATGCCAATACTAATATATATATGGAGATACACCTCACCAGGGATCAAACTCAGGACCTTGTGCTTCTCAGGCAGGTACTTAAGCCACTGACTTACCTCCCCAGCCTTATATATATTTTTGTATATACACACAGAACAGAAAAATTATCCTGCCTCAAAGAGTTTACACTTTATTAGACACCAGGACAAAAATCTAGTCAGGAAATTACGTACAATATAAATGCTATGCAAAAAATGGCAGGAAATGGAAGATCACAAATAAGAGAGGTGGGTCTGCAGTTTTTCCAAGGACAGAGCAGGCTTGGCTTTGGGTGACACTAAAGACTTGAAGAAAGTAAGGGTGCTGGGGGCACCAACTCAAGGGCATCCCAGGCAAAGAAAGCAGCAGTGAAAGGTCCTGCAAAGGGGCAGCCCTGCGTTGTTAAAAGCACCAATGAGCTCAAGACGTCTAAAAACGAATAAACAAAAAGGGCGAGAATAACATCAGAAATAAAGAAGCTGTGTTCGCTTGTGAAGATCACCATAAAGTACTGAGCAAGGCCAGAAGACATAATTTATTATCTATCTAATTCTGCTGGCTTTCCTCTGATTCAATAAATCAGCTCACACAGAGACAAAATAAAAAAGCAAGAAATCCTACTACTCCAAAAGGTAAGAAGCCATAAAATCTTCCTTACCTCTAGGTAAACAGCAAGTGACTACTTAAAAGCCTTAGGATATATGACTTGAGATCAAGCGTAACAATTATTTTTGAATTTTTATCAGAACATGTCTGGAAAAAAAAAAAAGAAAAAAAGGGGGCCGGGGAGATGGCTCAGTAGAATGAGCGCTTCCCTGGCAAGCGCAAGGGGCTGAGTTCAATCCCCGGTTCTGCCAAAAAAAAAAAAAAAAAAAAACATGTCTGTACTACATACAGATGACTTTTATCATAGGGAGTCAGTCGGTACACTGGCATAACCACTTTTTCAGCCCCTGTCCCTCCATCCCTCCCTGCTCCTTCCAACATTTGATCCCTGCCTCATTTGCAAAATCTCTATTTCCATTCTCTTCTTCAGTTTCTTTTTTCCCTTTCTCTCCTGTCCCTTCACCTCCTTGGCAATGATCCAACCAGGGCATAGGCTTTTCTTAGTTGGTAGGCTTGTTTATTACTACTTCAGTTCCAGTGCCTGTTATTGGTTTATTCAGGACATCTATGTCTTCCTGTCCAGCTTTGGTAATTGATGTATATCTAGGAATCTCTCCCTTTCTTCCCCATCCTCCAATTTTTGCATGTAGATTTGTAACGTAGTTGCTAGTAATCTGGATTTTGGTGCTGTTCTCTGTGTGTTTTCACCTTTTTCATTCTAATTGCAGTGATTTGTGCCTCCTTCCTTTCTTTGGTAAGACTGGCTGGTCTATTTTGTTTATTCTTTCAAAGAACTAGCTCTTTGATAATCACTGATTTTTTTTTTTGTATCATATTCTTAGGTTTCATTTCATTAATTTCTGCTCTGATCTTTATAATTTCCTTCCTTGTACTGGTATGGATTGGATTACTTTTGTCTGTCTAGGACTTTGGGATGCATCATTAGGCTATTTATTTAGGTGGCTCTCTTTTTCTGATGTGGGGAGTCATAGCTATGAACTTCCTGCTTAGGGCTTTTATTGTTTGTCATAAATTTTAGTACGTTGTACCAGCATTATCATTTAATTCTAGAAACAATCTAACTTATTCCTTAATTTCTTCTATGACCTATGAATTACTCAGAAATATGTTTTGTTTTGTTTTGTTTTGTTGTTTTGTTTTGTTTGGCGGAACTGGGGATTGAACTCAGGCTCTTATGCTTGCCAGGGAAGTACTTACTCTACTGAGCAATCTTCTGGGCCCCAGAAGTTATTTAATTTCCGTGTATTTATCTAATTTTGTAGTCTCTTTGCCACTGACTTCTTGTTTCACTGAACTATGATCTGACCATATGCATGGTATTATGTACTTATTAAATATAAAAAATTATAACTAGACTGTGATGTTTTAAAAAAATTTGATGAAACTCATGTCACATTTTCTTTATTTAAAAAAAAATCTTTTCACATACACACAAATACACACACACACACACACACACACACACACATACAACCTTAGCTCAAAAACCAATGACATTCCTAGTGTAAGGACCCTAAAAGCACTGCCATGAAAATCAGCACATAAAGAAGGAGATCCACTACCACGCAACTTCTTAAATATTCTACAAAATACAAATGACAAGAGGATATGCAATTGGTATTAGCTCATGCAATTATACAGAAGGAAATAATGTGAAATATAAAATTCTGCCCATTTTATTCTTAACAATCCTAGTGAAGAAGTATATACTACACTAACCATGACAGCGTATGTTGTTCAGTGGATACAAATATAAATAAATGCAATACAATATTCAAGAAGTAGGGCCATATAAGTATACTAATTTTCTGGCTGTGCTTAATAAAATACATACAACAACAAAAAAACAAAATATGAAAATCTGAAAACAAGAAGTAAATTTGCAGATACAATGAATGTATGTCAAAAATCCAAGAAAACTGATAAACATATCAAACAATTGTTTGATTTAAAACTAATATATAGAGGGCCGGGGAGATGGCTCAGTAGGACAAGCGTTTGACTGGCAAATGCAAGGATCTGAGTTCAATCCCCAGTTCCGCAATAAAACTAATATATTAAAATTCATAGCCTTTAGGCAAGCAGCAGAAGATATAAAGAGCCCATGTATCACAGAAACCAAAATAAGAAAATAGCTAGGAATAAACTTGAACAATATTTGACCTATAGGCAGCACTCAATATTCTTTGTTCTTTGAATAGTTTCTTTATTCAACTTTTTTTTTTTTTATTCAACTTTTAGAACTCTGGTTTTCCCTCTAATCCTCCAGCTACTCCTCAGTCTTCTTCACTGATGCCTCTTCACCTCTCTGGCCTCTGCTTTTAGAGTATACCAGAACCTTGTTTCTGCTTATCCTCACGCTTGGTGACATACAGTTCTGATAATGTACCTCCAGCTCACACCTCTTCCCTTAACTCTTCTCCTTTACCTACCTCAATACCTCCGCCTGCAATCAGACACCTGAAGAAAGTTTAAAGCCAGGGTCTCCTCTGCCCTTAACCATGCAGTCTTTGTGACAAATGGCGATTCACTCCTAGTATTCAGGTTAAAATACCTTAGATGCTATTTATGCCTCGATGATCCAGATCCCTTGGTAGACATCTGTCTCAGTTACTTTTCTCTCATTGCTGGGACAAAATATCCAACACTCAGAATTAAGGAAGGAATGGCTTATTTAGCTCACAGTTAGCAGAGGTTTCAGTCCATACTCAGCTGGCTCCAAGGCAGAGGGGCACACGGCAGAGAGCAGCCATCCATGGCAGTGGAAAACAGCAAAGAGCAAAGGAAGGAACAGCAGCTGCTACAGCTAGCAAGCCTCTTTCCCCTCCTTACTTTGTAAAGCAGATTATCTGCCCAAGGACAGGTGTAGCACTCACACCCATAATCCCAGCATTCAATCAAGAATTAATCACACAAAAAAATTAATCACAAACTCTAGAAGCTACTTTATGACTGCATGAGGCTTTGGGGGACAACTAGACACAACCCATAACAACCCCCATTCTACTATAACACATACTCATGTACCAACCACTTCTGCTTCTACCCCTCTTAAGCCACGGTCTGTTCTTACCTAGATAACTACAGCCTTTTGACTAGTTTCCCCACATTTACCCTTGCGCCACAACTTTTGGTCCTCTCGAAACACAACAGCCAGAGTAGCTCTGTTAAGAACATAAATCAGATACCATTTCTTAGCTCGAAACTCTCCAGTGACCCTCTCATTCAAAAGCTGAAGTCCTTCCAGCATACTGCAAGAGCCCTCACTTCTCCTCCATGCTCACCAGCTTTCCAATACTGAGACAACACACCTGAGAGAAATCAACTTGAAGGACAGGTCACCTTGGCTCACAGTCCAGAGTCTCCACCCACAGTCGCTTGGCACTGCTCTCTGGGCTGGTGGCAAGCAGAGCTCCACAGCAGAAAGCCCGTGAGTTAGCAAAACTCTTTGTCTCATGGTGGCCAGGAAGGAAAGAAAGGAGGGGTGAGGACAGAACACACCCTTCAGCGCACATCCCCACAGCCTGCTTTCTCTTACAGGCCTTGGCCTACTTTCTACCACCACCCAGTGGCACTGAATACTCGATCATGTTTCAATTTTTTGACCTATGTAAATGCACTATCCATTAAAATAAACAGAACCTACATGCAGAGAGGACAGAGACTAGGCTACACACCTAGCAACCGAGTGGGATGCCAGCACCATGTGGCCAAAGCTATCTACAGCCAAGCTTACTAACCTGTTAGATTGAGACTCTACTCCGCTGGATTCACTTCTCAATACAGCGTCTGACAGCACAGAACACTCATTGCTAGTAAAAGACTTCATTTCACCATTAACTTTCCCTCCAATATCCTCATCACTTCAATCTTTATATTAGACATTTTCTAGGTTTCTGAAATAATACATCCATTCCACTTAACTGAGTCTCACCCAAAATATAGACAAATGTCTTCTTTTAGCCATTTTTCACTGAACGTATTAATATTTTCAGTTCTTCTCCAAGTAGGCAAAAGCAGGGACCACAGTTCAATTCTCAGCACCACATGCCACACCAGCCCCACCCCCAGGGTGGGCTGAGCCGGTCACCAAAAAAAGAAAGGATAAATTTTAAAAGGTAAATCTTATAGACTTATCAAAGCAAAATAAAATACATTTTCAAACAGCAAGTGCTTCTCAAAGCCTAACGGGCATGCAAGCCACCCTGGAGTCTTATTAAAATGCACTTGCTGCTCAAGGACTCAGGAGTGCGACCCAAGACCCTGTGGCTGTGACACCCCAGGGGAACTGACGCTGCGGGCCTCTGAAGGACTGCGGAGAATTCTTTAGGGCCACTCCAGCTTGGTTCAATTCAATATCATTCTAAGTAAATCAACCAATGACAAGATTTTCTTCTATAAAAATTCACTATAACCGCTCCCCTGACCTTTGGGATACATTCTCTTTGCTACTATCTTCTAACTGCACTGCTCCCTTTCAAAAACGTTCCCATGGTTCGTTCCCCAGTGCCTGGGTCTCCATTAGTGTTTTAGTACTGTTTTTACAATATTCACTATTTAGGCAGTACTCTTAGACAACTAGATTTTTAACATTGTTCAACTAAGATCACTTGTATCTGCCCAAAAGGTTATTGTAAAGAGGGGAAAAAACAATGTATGAGAAAACACTGGAAATACCCAGAACTATGTGATTAATTACAATCTGTCTCCCACATGCAGCAAACAAAGAATACTATATCCATAATGTTCTAGAAAATTCTTATGAGACTTTATGATATATATGTATGTGTGTGTGTGTGTGTATATATATATATATATATATATGTTACAATGCTTTTTTCTATAGAAAGCAAAACATTATTTATAAAAACTAAAGCCAGTTTTAAACTAAGAATTGTCCCTCTTGTATTGCCCACTCCATCTTATGTTTATAGTCACCAGAACCTATCAGTGAATTGTCTGTTTTTGTCTGTGTAAACTATTACAGGAAAAATGATCTTATTGGGCCAGCCAAATAGCTCAGTGGATTAAAGCGCCTGCAAGCAAGCGCATGGACTGGGGGTTCAATCCCTGCCTTGCCGTGCTGGGCCCGCCTCTAGGGCATGCTGAGATAGTAATTAAGACTGGTTGTGTTGGCTCTTGCCTGTAATCACAGCTCTTAGGAGGCTGCAAACAGTCAGATCACTATGAGTCCAATCTAGTAGTGAGACCCTGAACACCCTGTAGACCCTTCCCTAAAATACAAAAATAAATAAAAACGATCTTATTTTTAAGGAAAAGGATTATTCTTTGTTTTCTTTAAGTACATTTATATTCATATCTTTGAACAAAGATGTAAATAGCTCTGAGTCATCAGGAAAATGAAAATCAAAGCTACAGTAGGATATGTAGGGTCAGAAGGTTAGAGAACAAGGACTGTCAAGAATGCAGACATGTGGGGCTGGGGCACAGATCCTGCCAGGCAAGCACAAGGTCCTGAGTTCAATACCCAGTAACAAAAAATTAATTTTTTTTTTGGTACATGGTCTTGCTATGCAGCTTGTACTCATAGTGATCTGCCTGTCTCAGTCTCCCCAGTTCTGGGATTACAGGAGTACACCACTATACCCAGTCTCACTGGCCACCATGGAATGCGGTACTAGAGATCAAACTTGGGATCTTGTGCTTGCTAGGCAGGTGCTTATGTCCCTGTGCCATCTCCCCAGCCACCCTCAAAAATTAAAACATGCAGAGAAGTAAAACCCCCAACACTGCTGGCAAGAAATGTGAGATAGTAAGCACTTTGTAAAACACTCTGATAGTTCTTCATACTAATTTACCCTCTGGCCCAGAAGTTCAACCCCTGGTTTTATACCAAGACAGGTACAAACATGTGTCCACACAAAAACCTATGCATTAATGGTTCAGCAGCACTACTCATGACAGCCAAAAAGTGGTGATGAGATTAAGGACCCATGACCCCAAATGCAGGACCCTGGCGTTGGGGAAAAGAGCAGAAAAAGGAAAGTCTCTGGCCATCCCAGTACCATTCTCATTAAAGCAGGCCATAAAAAGAGTTCCCTGGCCCTCTTCTAAAGTAGGCAGAAAACCCCTCATATAGATGTCCCCATTCTATACCCCAAAAAAAGGAGTACCTATCTCCAAAGACACCAGGCCACAAGAAAGAATCTAAATGTCTAGGCCTCACTAGCTTCCCCACTGCAGGCTCCCAACAGATAACATTCTTCTTTCTCCTAATCATACTTCTGCACAGTTATCCAGAAGAAGTTTCCCATGCTGCTTTGTGTCATTAACAGTTCCTTTTTCATGTAGAACTTATCTTCAACACATTTGTATGTGTTCCTTTTGCTAATATGTCTGTTACTACAAGGTCTCGGCTAGAACACATGACTGATGAGGTGAAGACCTCACTACAGTGGAAAACCTGAAGGTCCATCAGTAGGAAAACGTGACACATCCAACCCACAGCAATAAAGAAATGAGTCTCGATACACACTGTAACACAGGTGAATCTTGAAAACACTGTAGTAAGGAAAAGAAGCCAGCCACAAAAGTCTGTATTACAGGGCTCCTTCATGTGAAACGGAGCACAAGGAAACCCACAGAAGTAGTGTATCAGTGCTTCACTATGCCAGGCTGAGAAGGAAAGGTATGGGGTTTCGTTTTGAGGTAACATATTCTAAAAAATTTGGGTAGTGCTGGGGGGATAAGCTCAGTGGTCTAAGCGCTGCCTGGCTAGTGCAAGGACCTGGGTCCAACCCCCAGTACCTCAAGCAATGCTGGGTGCGCTGTGCCAGCCACTAAACTGGGCGTGGTGGTGCACGCCTGTAATCCTAGCACTGGCAACGCTGAGACAGGAGGATCCCTATGAGTCCAAGCTATGTAGTGAGACCCTGTAACAAATAACAAAAACAAATAAAAAAAAGACTAGTGAACCCCCTGCTTTAAGTAGGTAAATTATGCTGCTTTAAGTAGGTAAATTAAATATTATATCAATATCTTCAATCTGTTTTATAAATACATATTCATGAATTAAAAATTCATCATTCTACTACCATAATCTCAGTTACACTGGGATTTTTGTTATTACTTTGTTTAGATTTGTTTGGTATTTGTTCTATGCCACTGGGGACTGAACCCAAGGACTCAAAATGAGTTACAAAACCTGTGTATTATTTTGAGATCTTTCCCAATTCTCCAAGACGACCTCAAACTTGAGAACTCCCTACCTCAGCCTCCCAAGTAGCTGAGATTACAGGTGTGCATCAACACTGCCAATTGGGGAATAGAATAAGAATTTTTGTTGTTGTATAGGCTTTTTAGTTGCTAAATTAAACTGCTGCTAACTTAATCCCTAGGCTTAAAACCTGAAAGACACCTTCAACTAATCGCCAACCCCAGTGTACCGTGTATCACAACCTCACACTTTCCATTCTTACACTGTCTACTTACTCTGGTCACTCCATGTCTACGCTACCTGTTTTTCTTGCTTTGCCTTTTCTAATCATTACATGTGGCTGGCTTTTAAGTTCAGTTACAATTCTCTCAACAGCCTTTTCAGAGACTAATGTCCGTCGGGCCAGGATGAGGTCCTCCTCCTTGCATTCAGGTACCCCAATATGCTCCATCTTTGGTCCCTGTCCCTGCTCCCTTCCTGTGCTGTCCCTCCACTGCCCCCCCATTCTGCATCTGCACCTTGTTCTGCCTTCCCTCAGGCTATTCCATTCTGAGCACCCCCCAATACTGACCTCACTCCTAACTCACTTGAGCCCCACTGCACAGCCCCACATCACCTAGAAAGGACTTGTGAAGAACTCAAACTGCAAATGAGTTCAAGCACTCTGAGCCACTCTTAAGGCACTTTCTGCCACATATCTTAGCATTTGATTTAGAGGACACTTATCTTAGTATTTCATTTACTTGTCATGTATTTTTGCTTCTGATTTGTCTTATCATCTTATTGTGTCACTGTGTTATTTCATAAGAAATAATTTGTTTCAATAAGATTGCCACCCCCTTAAAACAAGGATATTGTGTTTTCAGTATCACTGAGACCACATATTTTGTGGCAGGCTCAAAATACCACACTTTACAGAAGTAAAACAGTTGCGCACAATTGCGCACAGAAGTAAAACAGTTGCGCACAATTCATTTACCTGTGAATTATAACTCCCCATCACATTCCCCATCATTTTGCATACTTTCTTCTATAAGTGCAATTAATAAACCCAAAGTCCAAAAGGCAAATACAGTACCTTATCGTACTGACAGACAATTACATTATCTGTGTCAAACAGGTCCGGCACATCCTGCTCACTAACATCATCTCCAGAATTTAAAGGGTCCTAAAGATGAAAGATGGTCCTGTTAAGGAATTTCATGAAGCACCAAACTTTTTAGGGATGAAGAGACATGCAGACATAGATGGCTTGGAAAGGTAGGGTAATATTATGTTTCACAGCCAAATAGCCCAAGTCTGAATCCTAGCTTGGAAACTTCATAATTACGTGAATGCTTTGGGCAAGTTACTAAAGCTCCACAGACCTTAGTTTCTAATCTAGAAAGTAAGGACAGTAGGGAGACCCACGGGACCTGGGGTACTCCATAAGGAGGAAGATAAGACTTACTCATGGCCACTGCAAATGGTACTTAATACTCTTACATATTCCCTTTCCTTTTTTCTTACATTTAAACTCCAATCTTATTTTTTATTTTTTAGGTTCATTTTAGATATACATCATGATAACAGTCTTCATAGGACATTTGTAGCCATACATGATATACTGTGCTTCTTTTTCTCCATCCCCCTCCTTCAGCCCCCCCCCCTTCCTTTTCTTATTTACACAAGTTTTGTTGCCATTTTTCCCTTCTATTGTCTTTTTTTGTCCCTTCCATTTACCTCTCTTCCCTGGTTCCTATTCCCATTCGAACATTTTCTTCCCATTTAACACTACTATTATACATTATACATTACACATCCTTACTTGAACTTTCGGTTTCTCACTCCAGAAAAACAGCATGGTATTCAAACATGTTTACACATTCTTTTTTTTCTTTTTTTCAGAAGCGGGGATTGAACTCGGGCCCTTGCGCTTGCCAGGGAAGTGCTTATTCCACTGAGCCAGCTCCTCAGCCACTTTACACATTCTTAATCAAAACATTCCATCCAGACTTTACTGTGTGGACTACGACAGACACTGCCTGTTCTATGTTGGTCACCTTTAACTCCACTCTTGTCCCCAAACCTCCCACGATCTCTCAGTAACAGCAACAAACACAGAAGCCAATTCCTAAACCCTTAGTAATGGTTTCAATTACTCTCAAAGTTTAGGTCCCACGTACAACTAAGTTTCATTTTGAAAGACTGAAGACAGGGCTAATGGTGCTTGGCATTTCCCTGGTTCCCTCGCGTACCTGCAGAAGCGCAATGTTACGCGCTAACGAAGTCTCCACTCTGAAGAGACACCACGCTCACCTCATCCACAAGGGCGACTTCTGGGCCTTCATCGTCGCTGCTGCTTGCAGTTGAGTCTTCGCTCGATGTACTGTCAGCTGCTTCTTCAAGCACCTTCAGGTCGCCCGCATCAATAATTTGCAGAAATTCATTCTCCTCCGCATCTCTCACATTTCCTACTTCCTCATTAGAAGACGCATCGCCAGTCCCATCTACTTGAATTATTCTATTAATATCGTCATCCGTTAACTGACTGCTCAAAGCCACCTGAGAATTTGAATTACAAAAGAAAAGAAAATATTGTGACATTCTTCAAGTGAAACAAGGTGTTTAATATATATATTTGCTAGTGTGTGCTACGTTTAAAACACTAGCAAATATTCTACAAATGGTCACTTAAAGCATACTTCTATCTTATAAGGTGAATTGTCCAACAAATTTTGAATTTCAGGATACCTGTAGCATTTCTATATAACATAATTTTAACATTAAAAATTAATTAAAGCCATTTATAATGAAATGTAGGAAAGTTTACTGCTCTTACATAATACCAGCTTTTATAGATACCATGCATGTATTTCTTAACTATTACATTTGATTCTAAGCAATAACTAAATGAAATAGAAATCACAAGTGACACTGTGTTTAATGAACATATAAAAACAGAAAAAAATATATATACAACACTAAATCAAATAAGTAAAACACATAAGAAATGACCTCTGATTCCACTTCAAAATTCCACTTAAAAGTTGTACCTCAGGCCAGGGAGATAGCTCAGCAACATAAGCACCTGACTGGCAAGCACAAGGTCCTGAGTTCAATCTCCAGTACCCCCCCCAAAAACGTTGTAACTAAACTAGACAAATTTATAGAGGCTCAAAGTAAAACAGGTTCCTGGGGCCTGGGGAAAGGGAGGACGGAAGAGTTAGGAGTACAGAGTTTCTATTTGAGATAATGAAATTGTAAAATATATACAATGTATATATGGCAAAATATACATTGTGTATATTTTATTACAATAGCAACAGAAAATTTAGAAGTGAAAAATATAAAAAAAAAAAAAACTGAGTAACTACCTGTGATAACATAACTATTCTTTGTATCATGGTCTTTATGAATCAGAGCCACCAAACAATCATCTGCTAAATTATTTTATGAGCATATTCTAATTTAAGCCTAATCAGACCATAAAAAATATACTGTGGTTTACCAAGATAGCAAAGTTAGGAATGGGTGGATCAGAATTAAATGCTAAGTTTACTTGTACAGAGTTCATCAACTCCATACCATACTGCCTTCCCAGTTACTCTGTCACAGATGAGAGAGAGAACAACAAAATTTCAATCTCCTTAAGAACAGGGGCTTTAGGATGATTACATATACATCAGAGTATAGCAGACATTCTTAACCTTGCTGGTGAAGCCTGAGCCATCGTCAAAAGCTGGTAAAAGCTCCAAATGCTACGATAGAAGTGCAGAGTACTACTGGTTGTGTTTTGTTTTGTTTTGGGGTGCGTGTGTGTGTGTGTGTGTGTGTGTGTGTGTCTTTTTGAGACAAGGTCTCACTATGCAGTGAGACTTGTGTTGAGCTCACTTTGTAGCCCAGGCTGGTCTTGAACTCATAATGATCCTCCAACCTCAGCCTCCCAAATGCTGGTATTACAGGTGTGCACCACCACGCCCGGCTAGTACTACTGGTTTTAGAATTACATACACAGGCTGACAACACATCACATATACAACAGATTACTTTAGCTCTAAGGACAGGCTACAGGTGTATATCCTTCAGGAAGTTGTGGCAATTAGCCCCAAAGTTCTTCATCCTATCAGCCTAAGAGGATCTGGGAACCTGAGAGGACTGACAAGCTAAAGCAGACTCGCTTACAGAGATATAAACAAATGCCCTTTCTTTCTGCTCCTAAATTTGTGAAGTACAGGCAATACTCAATACAACAATAAAAGTCTCAATGCATGAACTTAAGATACAACTTGAATACATGAATATAATCAACTTACTGTTTGAGTATATGAATACCCTGTTGGGATTCATATCAATATGGGTATCTCTAAGATGAATCCTCAAGAAGTACTTTGCACAAGTAATCTTACATAGAAAAATGAGGACTAATTAACATGCAATTACCAGGCATGATGATGCATCCCTGTGATCCTAGTACTCAGGAGGCTGAGGCAGGAAGATCACTGTGATTTCAAGGTCAGGCTGGACTACATAGTGAGTTTTGGTTTTGGGGGAGGTTTCTTTTGTTTTGTTTTTTGTGGTACCGGGGATTGAACTCAGGACCCTGCACTTGCCAGGCAAGCACTTATTCTACTGAGCTATCTCCCCGGCCCCATACATAGTGAATTTAAGACCAGACCAAACTACACAGTCAGACCCCGCCACAAAAAATTTTAAAACGCAAAAATATGCAATTAACTTTTACTTCAAATAATTTTAATACACTGGAAACATTTCATTCACAGATGGAATATAAGGGGTATCACACAAAAAATGAACGGCTGAATACTCAAAATAAAAGACCAAACTTTAGAAAAAAAATAATTTTCATCGTACACAAACCTAATCAGAAAAATTTAAGGGATTCAATTGCTGCCTATGAAGTAAAAGCTGAAAGGAACAAAGAACACCAATGCCACACTAACAAAGACAGAGGCTGACTACAACTTTCTTGACTCTGTCTTAGGACAGGGTCACGGCACATGCAAGCAGTCTTTTATCTAAGAAGAAACTCTTGGAAAGACAAAGCAGTTGGACGTAGCTGTCCATGAGAAGAGTAATGACCACCTCCAAGTATAAAGACTACTGATTTCTGTCTCCCCATTCCTTTATAAAAAGCCTGGAATTCAATTAAAAATAATGAACAATAAAAATCAAACAGGAAGTAGCAAAACAATCAAAAGAAATGTTTTAAATCCTCCCAAATTAGAAGATAATTATAATGGAATGTAAATGAAAATATAAAATGTTAAAATTTGGGAGGTGTAGCTCAAAAAGTGCATAGATGGACACTCATAGCACTGTTATTATAAAAGAAAAATCTTAAATCAATGACAATATTTCAAGAACTACAAATAGAAAAGATCAAATTAAGCCTCAAATAAACTGAAGGAAATAAAAATGGAAACAAAAGTAAGACGATAGAGGAAAAATTTATGAATCATTCTTTGAAAAAAAATCAATAAAAATTTTTGAACAAACCAGTAACCAAGAACACAAAATTCAGAAATTAAAGTCATCATAGATTCTAAAAATATTTTTTCAAAAATAAGAGAATAATGCAATGTGTTAATTACTGGCACTGTCCTACCAATTTGATTTGAAACTATCTCATTGCTTTTTATCAATAAAATTATGGGAAAAAAAGATTTAAATGCAGTTAAAACCTAAAAAAAAAAAATCAGAGAATATTACAAAGCTCGTTTCAAAAAAAATTTATAATTTAATGATATATTTCTTGGAAGAATCACAGTTTACTTTAGAAGAAACAAATAGCCTAAAAGAATTCATTTAAAAACATATAATTCACAGTTAAAACTCTTCCTACAAAGAAAAATTCAAGAATCAGAAAACTACAAAATCTCTCAGGTAAAAACAAAAGATGATGATCATTACAATGAGGGACTTGCTCAGGCAATCTAGAGTACACAGAGATAAAAATATAAAGACTGTTAGGAAAATGATGGAAACCATGAATGCCCCCAACAGGGAAAAAAATGGAATCTATGAAACATTCAAACATATCCAGGGGATTAAAACTTCCCTTGAAATTATATGCAGCCAAAAGAACCAAGGTGAGGCCGGAGTAGCAGGCCTGGAAGATAGGATTGTGGTTAGGGAATCACAAAAGAAAAATTTCTTAAAAATAGCAAGGGACCATTAGAAATAAATCCAAAAGCTGTGTGACGAAGAATAACGTAAGACTGATCATATCAGAATTAGTTAAAAAAGCAGAAGACAACACAAACGATGTTAAAAAATATTGTTTTACAGAAGTAATGGCAGAAAACTTCCCAAGCAAAAAAGAATTTGACATGTAAATAAGTGGGCATACAGAACTCCAATTAGCTGTGACCAAAATAAATCTACATCAAGGCATATAATAATCATAATTGCAGAAATTCAGAACAAGAACAGAATATGAAAAGCCATTAGAGGCAAGAAAAAAAAAAACACCTATAAAGGGAAAATGGGCAAGTAAATAGATGGGGGGAGAGAGAGCCAACAACAGGAAAAGAACATAATGAGGATAAGCCAATACATATCAGATATAACCATCAACATAAATGGTCTCAATTCCCAACAATCAAAAGAGACAGGTATAATAGCTCAAAAAGCAAAATCTAGTAATATGCTGAATACAACAAACACCTGTAAGGTCTGGGGAGATAGCCGAGCAACTTAAGCACCTGCCTGGCAAGTGCAAGGTCCCAAGCTCGATCCCTCATACCACCAAAAATAAATAGGTTGAGGGAGCCTTTTTACCAAGATGGCACCAAAGGTGAAGATGATAACCTCTGCCCCTCCCAAATCTGAAGTCAAAACAAAAACTTTGAAGGCCAAGATGGCCCAGCTGAAAGGTATCCACAGCCACAAAACGAAGAATGAACGTCACCCACCTTCCACTGTCCCAAGACACTGCAGCTCCGGATGCAGCCCAAACTCCCTCGTAAGAGCACCCCCAGAAGACACAAGCGTGACCACTATGCCATCATCAAGTTCCCCCTGACCACAGAGTCAGTCATGAAAAGATCAGGACAACACCACACTCGCATTCACTGTGGATGTCACAGCCAATAAGCACCAAATCAAACAAGCTATGAAGAAGCTCTATGACACTGATGTTGCCAAGGTCAGTACCCTAATCAGGCCTGATGGAGAGAACAAGGCATATTCAACTGGCTCCCGATTATTGGATTGCATTGGATGTTGCCAACAAAATTGGGATCATCAAGACTGAGACTAGCTGGCTAATTCTAAATACATACTTTTTCCCTGCAAAAAATAAATAGATAACAAGAAACAGATTTAACTTAAAAAGAAATTCATAGATGGAAAGTCAAAGAATGGAAGCCAATACTCCATGCAACAGAAACAAACAAACAAAAACAAGGGTAGCTGTTCTATTTGCACACAGAGTAAACTTCAAGCTGATACTGATCAAAAGACACAAAGAATGTCACTGCATACTTGAGAGGGGAAAACTGCAAGAGGGAGGCAGAGCAATTACCGGTTATCTGTGTGTA